TGGGGGGATCCCTGGGTGGCGCAGCGGTTTGGAGCCTGCCTTTGGCCCAGGGCGCGATCCTGGAGTCCCGGGATCGAATCCCACGTCAGGCTCCCGGTGCATGGAGCCTGCTTCTCCCTCTGCCTGTGTCTCTGCCTCTCTCTGTGTGTGACTATCATAAATAAATAAAAATTAAAAAAAAAAAAGAAAATACACTAGATGGATGGATGGATGGATTAGGAGATGTGATAAACAGATACAGTAAGATGTTATAGAATCTATGTGGTGGGTATATGAGTGTCACCTTTATAATTCTTCCAACTTTGCTGCATGCTTGAAACTTTTATAAAATATTGGAGGGGGGCATCTAAGTCTGATCATGTCACCCCTCTTCTCAGACCTCTTCAAAGCTCTTCATCTTGCCCAGAATAAAAGCCAAAGTCTTGACAATGGCCTCCAAACAGGATAGCCATACATTCTGGTTATCACAGGTATTAGCTATTATCGGGCATAATTATTAATATATCCTCTTTTATTCTTGAAGTTTGATAGACATGTTATGTACCTGCTCTGCCTATGAGGTCCTACATGACCTGACCTCACTTCCCACTGCTCTCTCCCTTCTTCCCTGTGCCTCAGTCACACTGATCTCATTTCCAGGCACACTCCACCTCAGGACTATTGCACTTGCTATTCCCTCAGCCTGGAATACTCTTCCCCAAGATATCTGTATGGCTCTCTTCCTCATTCCTTCAAGCTTTTCTTCAGATGTTTCCTCAGTAGGGCATCTGATCTCCCTATTTTTTTCCATCTCCCTGACTTGATTTTTTTTTTTATAAAGTAAAAAGTACTTATAACTTCCTAAGATGATATAATTTATTGAAGTTAAACTCCATGAAGGCAAAGATTTTTTTTTCCGTTTTGTTAATACTTTGTTCCCAGGGTCTAGAAGAGTCCCCAGTAAACAGCGCACAATAAATATATATCCCTATGAATAAATGAATTCTCCTGCCTTTGTTGAGCAGGCTATCTGGCACCAAAGATTGAAGCCAACTTGGACCATCACAAGGGAATATCTGATGTTCCAGGAAAAGGCAGAGGTGGAGGCAAAGGAGGAGGCAGGGGTGTGACAAAGGAAATCACCAGGAAACCAAGGTTAGAAAAAAAAAAGAATGCATCTCCAGGTGAAGAGAGGGGCACTCCTGGCAGAGCAAACAGCATTAGGAAAAATCTAGAGGTGAGCACAGCAGAGTGGATTACAAACAGTTCTGGGGGAGCAGGGTGGTATGGGGTGGAAGTGGCAGGGACAGCTCCATCCTGCCGGGAAGGAGGACAGCTATGGGGTTTTCACCCAGGGCAGGCACATGTGGGTTTCTGAGACTGCCCAGCTGCTGGGGCGGGGGGCGGGGGGAGAATGGACTGGAGGTGGGCAAGAGTGAAGCAGAAAACCCACCAGGAGGCATCTAGCAATCGAGAGCACCCTAGAGATAGGGGCAGATGGGAGACATACTCAGGGAAGAGACCTAATGAAACATGGTCACTCACAGGACTCTGACTTCTGGGGGCTCCAATCTGGGCCAACTCCTGGGATTGACAGGCCATTTCTGAGTATAGGCGATGGTAGGGACAGATTGGGAGAAGGAGGAGGCTGAGGGTCTGGACATCCCAGGGGTCTCTGAGTCTAGAGGTGGGGTGCAGCGTTTGGATGCTGAGACTTGGGAGCCATTAATTCAAAGAGTAGGTGGACTTGGCAGGGAGTATTCATGAAGAGAAGAGCTAGGCCAGGACAACATATATTTAAGGGCTCAGGAGGAGGCGAGAGTGACAGAGCAGAAGAGAAGGGGGGAGCACTAGAGGCCAGAGTCTGAGAGCCAGGAGTGGAAGAATTTCCCAAAAGAGAGTATGGACATTGGGAAGGAATGGGAAGAGGGGAGGCAGGGAGGGAGAGGGAAGGTGATGACTAGGGGTGTGGCTATGGAAGAGGTGGATTTTATTTTACTTTATTTTCTAAGTCGTTATTTATTTGACACACAGAAAGAGCGTGCACACAGAAGCAGGGGGAGCAGCAATCAGGAAAAGGAGGCTCCCCACTGAGCAAGGAGCCTGATGCGGGCCTCCAACCCAGGACCCTGGGATCGTGACCTAAGCCAAAGGCAGAGAGCCGCTTAACTGAGCCATCTAGGGGCCCCAGATGAAGAGGTGGATTTTAAACCAGGTTACAGAGTGGATCACAGAGCTGGAGGGGAGAGACTTGGGAGTAGGGACAGATGCCTGGGGTCTGGGGCCAACAGAGGGACAGGAATCAATGGGGGTGACTCAAACTTTAGCCTTTCAAGTGTGCTCAGAAAAGGACTCTTCTTCCCCAATCTCACTGACAGGCAAGTCTCTGGCCTCCATCCCTACACCCTAGTATCCTCACCTGTAAAATGGAGTAATAGGAAAACAGCTGTCATTTATTGAATACTCAATATGTGTCAAGCCAAGGACACTCTCCACATACTTCCTCACATAATCCTTACAACACGCTCACCAGGCTGTTAATATTATCCCCAGTTTACAGATGAGAAAACTGAGGCCTGGAGAGGTTAAGTCCCTTGGCTCAAGGTTATAAGCGAACAAATGGAGATGCTGATATTCAAACCCAGAGCCTGTCGTCTGGGCTTTAACACTGTACTGCTAACCCATACAAGGCACTTACAGTTTACAAAGGACTCCCATCACCTACTGTGGTGGTTGAAGGCAATAATGACCTCCACACCTCGAAAATGCTGAGATTACCATATGTAGTAGGCTGAATAATGGCCCTCTGAAGATGCCCCCGACCTAATCCTCAGAACCTGTGGAAGGAGCCCCAAGTCAAGGAACGTGGGTGGTGTGTAGAAGCTGGAAAGGGCTGGGAAACAGATACTCCCCTACAGCCTTTTGGAGGAACCAGCCCTGCTGATACCTTGACTTTAGCCCACTGAGACTAATTTTGGACCTCTGGCCTCCAGAAGGGTAAGATAATAAATTTGTGTTTCTTTAAGTGACTAAATACATTTATGGTAATCTGTTGCAGGAGCAATGAATATACCATATCACCCTACATCTGGCTCCTCTGGCTAGCCCTGGTTCAACTATTACAACTTCAGCCGCTATCAGTAAACAGCCCTACATTTTAAAATAGTTCTTTAAAGTTCCAGTTTGGTCCCTCTGAACCTCAGTCTCTTTCTTTGTTAGAAATAAAAATAGGGCTAATACACCTAAGACTCTTTGCCAGGCACAGAGTGAACGTACCTTCTATTATTTGAAGGTTTCCACAAACCACTAGGGCGGATAAGGCCTAGTTATTGTCCCCATTGCTCAGATGAACAAACTAAGGCTCAGAGAGGGGGAAAGGCACGCATAGGGCCATACGCCTAGTGAGTAAACAGAGCCAGGATTTGAGCCAGGACTTCTGACTTCATATCTACCACACTGAGGTTCATATCTCACATTCCACTTCCTCAGGGAAGCCTTCCTGGATAGCCTCAGCACATTCATTTACTCATTCATTCACCAAACAGTTGCTATGATTGCTCTATGCCCAGTGTGGTTGCTAGATAAGGCTGGAGACTAAGTTCAGCTGTCAGGAGCCCAAAACCTAGTGGACAAGACAGACACACAAACCAGCCATCCCAAACAGCCTGATAAATGCCAAGACAAAGGGGGAGGAGGCACAGCGGGTGATGGAAGCCCAAAAGAAAGGAAACTGATTGAGCCAGGGGTCAGGGAAGACTTCCTGGAGGAGGTAGTGATTGAGGTGAGGACAAGTAAGTGTGAGAAGGGGTTCCAGTGGAGTAATGGGTAAACGGAGATGGGGGCAGGGGTACAATGTTGTGGCTTCTTGAGGACATGGAACGGGTTGGGTCATCTGAGACCCCAAAGTCCCTCTGGGCCTCTGTGTTCCTGTGTATGAACAGGAATCATGGGCCAGCTTCCCAGAGCTTTGGTAATTGCTGAGCCCAGGGGAGGGCTGAACAGGAAGAAGACGGGTCCTGGGTTTCCTAGAGGAGGAGGGCTGAAGGTCAGGAAGGGTCAAAGGTAAGGGGACAGGGCAGGGTGGAGGGAGTTCTGGAGAGGCAGGGTCCTGGGCTCAAGCTCCCATTCTATGTCTGACTCATGGTATTACAGAAAAGTCCCCTTGGAGCCTCAGTGACTCCATCTGAGAAATGGAGCATGAGACAAAACTGTCTCCAAAGACCCTCCCCAGCCCTGAGGGGGAAATGACATGACACAAAATTACAAAAGGGTCTTTATTTGTAAAAAGCCAAGGGGCCCTTGGGGCAACAGGACAGGCAGGCCGGCTTCTCAGGGGTCAGGGGCATTTGGGCAGATGCGCTTGAGTGGGGGGGCGCCCTCCGAGTCCTCTGTGTCACCCTGGGCTGCCTCGGGGACAGGTGGCACTGGCTCAAAGACGGGGTAAGCTTCGGGGGCCTGGAGAGGAAGGGTGGACAGGCGTGAGCTCCACCCAAACCCAGGAGTGCAGCCTCCTAGCCTCTGCCTTCTCCAAGCCTCCACTCCACTTCCCTTCTGCACCTAGGAGTCTAGCCCAGGGCTAGGGACCCAGGAAGCAGATGAATAGGGCACCGGAAATAACAACACTGTTTTGGGGAAAGAGACTGGCGATACTTGATATTTCTGGAAAATGCCTCAAGGGAGTCCTTGGGAGAAAAGTCAGAAGTTTGTGGGGGACTCTCTTAAGCTAATTTTATAGTTTAGGACTAAAATAAATAAAATAAAAATAAAATACTTGGAGGAGCACCACAATCTTTTCAGGCTTTTAATGGTCTTAAATCAGCCCCGATCCAGCCCACAGGACTTTGTCTTAAAACACCCTTTCCTTTTCAGACCCAAGAACCCAGCCTCTGAGACTTTGAGCTGTGTCTGAGGTCTATATTTCCTGCCTGGACCTCAGGAGTGCAGCCCCCAAGCCTTCAGCTGCCCGAGAGCCCCCCACTGCCTCTGAGACCCAGGGGGCCCAGCCATCTGGCCTCTCTCACCTCAGCCTCCAGCAATTCTGGAACAGGCTCCTCCTTGGTCAGCATTGGGGGTTCATCCGTGCTGCCTGCAGTGATGCCCCCAGGATCTGGAACATCAAGTTAACAGAATTCCCTGAGTGGCTCCTCCATGCCACAGCACAGACCCTGGTTGGGGACACCAAGGAGTGAGCTGGGAACCTTGCTATTGGCCAGAGGAAGACACAGCAAGGACATTTAAGTGGGATCTTGATGGGTGAGTAGGATCTGATCGGGTAGACAAATGGGGAGATGGAGCACATTTTAGGCAGACAGACTATATGTTTAGTGAGAACAGATTCTGAGGTTGAATTCCTCCGGTTCAAATCCTGACCTTGGGCAAGTGACTTAATTCCTCTGGACTTAGTTTCCCCACCTGCAAAGTGGGGATAATGATAGTAATTACCACATGAGACTGTTGTGAGGATGCAATGAGATAATACAGGTAAAGCCCTCAGTACAGTGTCTAGCACATAGAAAGTGCTCAATAAATGCCTGTTGTTTTTGTATTAGTAAAGGTACCCAAGTGCACGGTACAATCTAGACATAGCCCATAGGCCCAAGTCATGGTATTCCTCGAAAGGAACAATGAGACCAGCAGGGATAGTTCACGAAGGGCCGAGAGTGCCAAGTGGAGGAGTCAAAGGCCATAGGAGCCATTGAAGGCTTTGAAGCAGGAAAATGAGCCTGCCATATCTATGCTTTAGAAAAAGTTGCTCTGGCAGCTGTGTAGAGGTGACTAGGGAAGAGGAGACCCACAAGGAGGCTGGAGCCAGGCACAGGTAAGAGATGGCTCTTAGAGGAAGGGAGACACATTTGCAAGGTGGTTCCGACCAGACAAGGGATTGACTATATGGAAGAAAGAGGAGCTAAGGCAAAATTATGCCCAAGATGCTGGCTCATTGGCTATGTGAGCTTGGGAGACTTCTCTGGGTTTCAGCTTCTCATCCACATGTGGGGATTATAACTTTCATAGGGTTATAGTGAGGATTAAATGAAATCAAACATGTTCAGTGCTTAGAATGGTATCTGGCACACAGAGCTCAATAAGTCTTAGCTATCATTATCACTTATTAATCACCCTCAGGAATATCACTATTATTCCTTAACAAATATTTATTGAGTACATTCTATGTGTCCCACATTGTTCTGAGGATCTAGTAATGGACAAGAGCAACATGGGCCCAAAGTTCAGGAAGCCAACATGAGGTGGGAGTGGGGGAAGAAATTTGAGTAGTAAAAAATAAAATTTACATGAAAATCTCAGACAGTGATTAATTACATAAAGACCCAAAGGGGGAAAAAAAAAATACCCAAAGAAGCTGGATGAATGAGACAGTTAGCTACTGGAGGTAGGATGGTGACTTTCTGCAGGAGTCAGGGAAGGCCTCTGGAAGGGGTAACAAGGAGGGGAGCAGGTGTAGGTAGGGGTAAGCTGATGGCTCCAACTCAGCCACCAGCCGACTCAGAAGAGAGGGCTGCAAGGAGGCACCTGGTCCTACCTCTCTCTTGGCCCAGCCGTGGGGGCTGAGCATCCTCTGGGACCCCTTCTGGTGGTCCAGCAGGTGACACAGGGCGGCTGGGCTGGGGGGTACCCCCAGGGCTGGGCTCGGTGCCCTTTTGCAGGGAGCCTTCCGAATGGAAACTCTGGTTACTGTTTTCATCTGTGGGAGCAAAAGCCGAGAGCATTGGGCCTGAGAGCCCCAATCTGCTCCCTCAATTCCCCATCCCACAGCACCCCCCTAAATCCCAGGATCCCTACATACCATTGAGATCCAGCAGGATGAGGGGACCACCCCCTCGGGGACTGGTGCCCCTGCCCCGCCGCTCCCGGCCTCGGGATCTCTCTGTCCCGCCACCTGCCCTCCGTCGTTCCTGGGGGTTAGAGGGATAAGGGTCAGCTCCAGCTTTCCAGTTAGTGCTTGCAAAGCCCCCACTGTCCAAATAAGGAAACTGAGGCACAGAGCAGCAAAAGGCCCTGCAGGAGGCTGGCACAGTGGGTTAGGGCTTGAACTCAGGGGTCTGAAGCAGGAAAAAGGGAGAAGGGGGTGGAGTTGCTAATAATTGTTAACATCTGTCTTGGCTGCTGCATTTGAGGTCTCAGAGCAGGACTGGAGGTGGAGGCTGGGATTGGAAGAGGCTTGCCTGAGGGTGCACAGTGGGGGAGTTTGCTCACCTCCTCCTGGGGGTCCACCACTGGCACCCACTTGAAGATACGAAGGGAAGTGTCGCCCACGGTCACCCAGCGCTTCTCCCTGTGGGAGGGGCGGACTGGGTCAGAATTCTGAGGAGAGAGCTCCCCCCCCAGGAGCTGAACACATCTGGGGAGACCTGTAGACTTGGGGGTGCTGCGGTTTCGCTAATGGGGCATATGGTTAGAAGGAGAAAGAGAGTCCTGCAGACCCCAGGGCATAAACAGGGGTGCCTCTAAGGAGAGAGCACGGTTTGGGGCCATGGCTCTGCAGACCCCTGGGGTATACAAGGGAGCAAGGCTGAGGGCCTGGCTGGGGACCATAGCAATGAAGATCCTGGACATACTTGAGGGAGGAGTGTCAAAGCTTAAGGGGGCGGGGCAAAAATGAGGGTACGGCTTGGGAACACGCTTTGTAGACCCTAGGGTGTAGCCAGAAGGGGGACAGAGCCCTGTAGCTCCCACCTAACACCTTGCGGCCACGGCCGGCGAAGGGGAGGTTAGACGCATTTGGGGGAGGAGTGGTCCCGCCGGGTCCCATCCCTGGCCCCCGGGGAGCGCTCACCATCTCCGGACCTTCTCGATGGTCGCCATCACCTTCTTGATGTCATCTTTGGCCCGGCTCCGGGTCTCGGCCCGCACGGTCCGGCCGGCCATGCTGGCGGGACTGGGGCCGAGGCCGAGCCCGCGGCTGGGCCGCCTCCCGTCCGGCGGGCTCAGGCTCGGCGCCAGACCCGGGCGCCGCTCTCTCGGCCTGCCGTCCCTCCGGGAGTTGGCCGCGCCCTCCCTCGCTCCCCAACGCCTCCGCGAGTCCCCGCCCCGTTTCCTGCTGCCGCGCCCCGCCCCGGCCCGTCCCCGGAGCGGCCGGGCGGTGCGGGCGGCCAAAGCCCAGGCCTGGAAGCCGGCCGGCCCCGCCCCGACCGGGCCCGCCCCCTCGGGGCGCCCCGACGCGCAGCGCCCCCTACCCGCCGCCAAGAGGGAGGGTTGGGGACAGCTTGGCGCCAGGGCGCGCGCGGCCGGGCCGGGGAGGTGCGTTCAGACCACGTGGGCGCGGGGACCAGGAGCGGGCGCGAGAAGGTCACTATCACGGCGAGCTTCTGTGGCGCGGGGGTGGCCCTCGTGCTGCGTGCAGAGCGTGTGTCCAGCCTCCCCTGGCTGTCGCTCCCGCACTGTCCAGCTCTTCCTCAGCCATTCATTCAGCAGTCTATTCAGAGTGCCCATTCCTGGCCAGATGCTGCAAATATGAGTAGGTCTCCACCCACCAGAATGGCTAAAATGAGAACGACAGACCATATCAAGTGTAGACAAAGGAGTAGAGCAACCAGACCTCTCGTGTTCCTGGGGTAGTGAAGATGGATAGAGATGCTTTGGAAAACTGGCAGGTTTTTTAAAAATTATTTATTTATTTATTCATAGAGACACTGAGAGAGAAAGAGAGAGGCAGAGAGACAAGCAGGCACCATGCTGAGAGCCTGACGTGGGACCTGATCTAGGGTCTTCAGGATCACGCCCTAGGCTACAGGCGGCGCTAAACCGCTGTGCCACCGGGACTGCCCAAACTGGCAGTTTTCTAGAGAAGCTGAACTTACACGATACAGCAATGCTACTCTTAGGTCATCGACACTTGAGAGAAATGCATAGGTGTGAGCACCAAGTGATGTGTACTGGAATCTTCATAGCACCGTAGAGAACAGCCTCAAATTGGAAACAGCCCATCAGGAGTTGAGTGGAAAATGAATTGTAGCCTGTTCACACAGTGGACACAGCAGAGAGTGATATCCTGCTACACAGACAACAGGGACAAGTCTCATGAAAGAAATCAGATACAACAGTACGCATTATATGATTCCTTTTATATGAAATTCAAAACAAAACTAATTTGTGGTGTGAGAACTCAGGATAGTGGTCACCCTTGGGAGAGGCCAAAAGGGAGCTCTTGGACTGGTCACATTCAGTTTCTTAATCTGGTAATCTGGTGCTGATCCCCCCCACCACCACCAGTGCATTTACTCTGAATATTCACCGAACTGTACACTTTTCCCTATGTATATTATATGCTTCAATTAAAAGTTTACTTAAAATGTGTGTGTTTTGGTTGATTTTATTTGAATCTGTTTGCCAGTGTGTGTTGCTCTATGTGTGTGTTTCAAGGGTGTGTGGCTCTTGTCTCTGTGTGTTTTGGTGTGATTATGTCCAGAGGGATTAAGGTATAGGAGGGTGATTATGACCAAATTTCTAGAGCCTAACTGCTCCTGGGAAAATCCCAGCTCTTCATGTCCAGTGACCTTGGACAACTCATTTATCTTTATTCCCTCAACTATAACATGAGAGTAAGTTAATATGTAATGCAATTCCTGGAGCAATGCCATGCACATAGTAAATGCCCAATAAATATTCACTGTTAATGACTGTGTGATTGTGGCCTCTACCAACAGTCTGGCTTCAGTTGCACCCACTTCCTCTAGTTAATATCTTCTTTTATTCTGGCAATTGTCTGCTCATGGTCACAGGCCTCCTTCCCAGTCCCTTCACTCATAAACCCCATTACCTGCTGTTGTTTATGGTTGCCTCCATAAGACTGTGGGCCCCTAAGGGGGCCAGAGACCACGTATGGATCATCTCTGGGTCCCAGAGCCCAGGACAAGTAGGTGCTTGGGAGCGTTTAAGTGTGCACAGACCTTTCATCATTTATCTGCACCAGGACAGGGGTTGACATGTCAGTGTGACCCCCTGTACCTGTCTCTGAAGTTTGTTCCTGGGTGAGAATGAAGGTCTATATGCAGTAGATGTGGCTATGTCAGAGGGTTCTCTTACTGCGCCTGGTAAAGTGAGGTGAGCTGATGTATCTCTTTCCCTTTTAAGTGTGACAAGAGAGGGCGAGCAGAAAGTATCTAAAATAGGCCAGGAGGTATTTGTCTGGGCAGGTGTGGCCCAAGCCTGACGGCCCTCCGCGACGTAGCCTCTCTCGCACCCAGCTTCCCCCTTCCCCCTAGACAGGAGGGAGGACCAGCACATTCCGGTCTTGCCAGCTCCACCCTCTCTTATCAAGCCCTCTCCCCCCACCCCCACCCCTACCCCCACCCCCTGCCTGCTTTCTCCAAAAAGAAGCTCGGTCACTAAGCCTTGCCTCAGGTCAGAGCCTGAGCCTCCTCCTCTCGCCGGTACAGGGCTGCCTCCCAGGCCCCAGCACACGCAACCTCAAGGTTTTGAGCCCACTACGCAGACAACCTACCAACCCCCCGCCGGCCCCTTTCCTGACTGGGCAAATCACGGAAGAAGCTGAGCTCAGAGCCAAGGAATCCTGCCTGGGGCGGGCGGTGTGTGTGGGGGGGGATTGTTTGGGGTCTGAGTCCTGATTGGCTGCGCCCGGGCCACGCCCCTACCCCTTTCCCCATCTCCCCCTTCGGAAGGGGGGCGTGGAGGCAACCGGGAGCAGCCTGGGGCCAGCATGAGCCGGAGGGAGGGAAGTCTGGGTAAGGGGCTGAAGGGCGGGATGCCGAGTGCCCGAGGGGAGCAGGGATCAGAGGGGCTGGAAGCTGGGGTCTGGGTCCCCGCCACCCCCGGGTCCGGGAAGGGAGCGGCCCGAGCTGGGGAGAGCAGGGCCCTGGTGTCAGGTAACGAGCCGGTGAGCTATGGGACAGGACAAGCGCCAGAGTTTAGCAGAGGCCTGGGCTGTGACTTCAGGGACTTGGGCTCAGGGTTTAGATCACAGGTTCGAGTACACCCTGAGAGAGAGGACTGGGGTCGCAGCTGGGGCTGGACGCCTGAATCCTCTGAGTATTGAGAAAGAATCCAACTGGGGAACAGAGGAAGGATAGAGTTAGGGAAGGAAGTCTTTGGGCCACAGGAGCTAGTGAGTGACAACAGGAGACGAAAGTCAAGGCTGTTACGAATAGAGCAAGCGGTGGGAAACTCAGGCGCGGGGGCGGGGGGGGGGAGGACGGGGGCGGGGCGGGAGTTGCTGGGCCGGGACTACATTCCCCAGTATGCCTTGGGCACACGCGCTGGGCATCTCGGAAAATGTAGTCATCCTTCCGGGGCTCCACCCCCTAGCTTGCGCTAAGAAAGGCTAGTCATTGATGCTGCAGGTGCCCAGCCCAGCGTCTTGCACAGACGGTCCATCCGGGAGGAAATGGGACTTCAGTCTCCCAATCTGTAGGATGGGCTTAAAGGAGCATTCTGATTTGAAGTTCCGTGCTTCAGTGATGGTAAATTTCACCAAAAATCAGTGAGGTATGGAGATATGTGAAACCTTACCTCAAAGGGCTCCCAGGCTGAAGCAGATGCACCCAGATAAAAGAGCAATTAAAAAAAAAACTACCTTGGGAGTGTGAACAAATGGCCTTAAGTAAAAGGAAAAAGTTAATTTAGGGGAGGGGTGAATCTGGAGGCCACACTGAGAAGGCAATATTTGAATTTGGCTTTAATAGGATTTCAACAGTGATTTGGAGTATACATATCAGGCAGGACAACTGTTTGGCAAATGTCCGGTTTGGTAAATGTTGGCCTCATTTACCATCACTTGAAATGGGACAGAGGCTGCCTGGCTTAAAAGTTGGAGAATTCAAAGCAGAACTTCTGGATTCAGGAAGGAAGAGCTAGCCTGGAAGAAATAGTCAAGGAGCAGGGGTTTGGGCTGCCCTCATTCATCCCCCTTTTCACCACCAGAAGATCCACAGGCTGACTCTTCCATCTCACCCCTTCCCCACTTGGAGGCCAAGATCCATCAGACACACAGCCTCGCCCGCCTCCTCACCAAATATGCTGAGCAGCTGCTCCAGGAATATGTGAGTGGGAATGGGGACGAGGGTGCCAGGGGCCTGAGGAATGGGGAAGTACAGATCACAGAGGTTCCTGACTACCCATTTCTCCAACCTCATTTCCCAGATGCAGAAATTGGGGCTCCTGGCCATACAGCAAACTGGAGGACCCTCTCTGTGCTCCAAATGCCCCTCTCTCTGTCTCAGCTTGGAGGTTCCCCCCACAGTGCCTTAAGGCAGAAGCTGAGAGAGTGAAGAGAATTCTGGTCTGGGAGTCAGGAAACCTAGGTTCCAGGCTCTCTATGATCTTGTCACCTCCCCTCCATGGGCCTTGGTCTCCCCAACTATAAAAGGAGACAGTTTAACAAGATGAGTTGTGAACTCTTCTACCTATGCTATGCAGAGAGACCAAGGAGTTTCAATCTGGAGCAAAAGTTCCAGCCCAAGAGGGGACTTTTACAGAGGAGGAGGATCTGTCAATAGCTTTGGTAAGGCATAGGGCCCTGCCCAAGAAAGGAGAGTATTTCCATCAGTTACTCTGGCGTAATGGAAGAAGGGTGTGGTTTTGAGTCAAATAGACTTGTAGACCTGCTAACTTGCTGTGATGTTGGGTACTAATGATAAAATGAAAAAATAATGATGTAACAATCATGAAAGTGGGATAATAGAACTAGCTTTATAGTTCTATGAACTTTGGTTCAAAATCCAGCACTGTCCTTTCCTAGATGGATGACCTAGGGCAAGTCAATTTACCTCTTCAGCTTCAGTATCCTCGTTTATAAAATCAGCGGCATCATAATCACCATACCCATTATTGGAAAGATTAAGAATAATGTGTTTAAAGCAGCAAGCATGCCTGAACCAGAGACAAGATGTTAGGAAAGAATAAATGGTATTGTTGTAGATTTTTACAAATTACCAATCTCCTTCATCTCTAATTTGTTCATTCATATATCAGTTATTCATTGAGCCCCTACTGTGTGCCAGGCAGGTGCAGAAGTGGTAGCGGATAGGAGGAGAGAGTGAAACAGGTCGAGTTTCTGCAGTATCTGTGTGATTCTCAGGAGATCCCTGATAGAAAGACTGGCTGGGGATCTGATCCCCCATTTTACAGATGACAAGACTGAGACTCAGAGAAGGGAAATGGTTTTGTATGAAACTGCACAGCTAGCAAATGGGGGAGACCGGATTTTCACCCTGATCTGTAAGATAGCATTAATAAAATCGCTAACGTTTGTTGCGCCCTTCCGGTGGGCCAGGATTTGCCTGAACCATTTCAACATGCTCCTAACTATCCTAATGAAGTTCAGACTGTTACCTCCATTTTAGAGATGAGGTTACACAGGCACTGGTGTAAAGCCCACTTATTTTGTGGTTGTTTTGTAGTACCTCAAACACAACAGCTGTGTTGGGAGGAAGGCGTCATTTGAAAGCGGGGAAACTGAGGCTCCAGAGAGATAGAGGAGCGGAGAGCGCAGGGGTTCCGTCGCTCCTCGTGGGGGCTCCCCCCTGACTGCCTGTGTCTCCGCAGGTGCAGCACCAGGGAGACCCCTTCGGGCTGCCCGGCTTCTCGCCCCCGCGGCTGCCGGTGGCGGGCCTCAGCGCCCCGGCTCCGGGCCACGCGGGCCTGCCCGCGGCCGAGCGGCTGCAGCTGGACGCGGGAGCGCTGAGCGCGCTGCCGCCGCTGCTCGACGTGGTGCGGCGCCACCAGGCTGAGCTGAATCCGCGCGCGCTGCGCCTGCTGCGGCGCCTGGAGGACGCGGCGCGCCAGGCCCGGGCTCTGGGCGCCGCGGTGGAGGCCGTGCTGGCCGCGCTGGGCGCCGAGACCCGGGGGCCCCGGCCCGAGCCCGCCGTCGCCGCCGCCGCCGCCGCCGCCGCCGCCACCGACGCGGGTGTCTTCCCTGCCAAGGTGCTGGGGCTCCGCGTGTGCGGCCTCTACCGCGAGTGGGTGAGCCGAACCGAGGGCGACCTGGGCCAGCTGGTGCCCGGGGGCCCGGCCTGAGCGCGGGGCGCGGGGCTGAGCTCGCTGTCCGCTCGGCGGCCGTCTCCGTCTCTCTGTCTCTGTCTCTGTCGTCTCCCTTCGCTTTGTAAGCGCTCGCTCGGTGTCTCCTCCATCGGACCAACTTGCGTTTGTGACTTCTAAGCCCCTGGCTTTCTTGCTTTCTCCCTCCTCTTCCCCGTCGCTTGGGCCTGCCTCCGCCTCTCTTTGACTCCCCCTTCTCTGGGGGGGCCTCTTTGTCTCCCCTTTTATCCATCCTTCGGCTTCCCTGAGGCACCACGTGAGCAGGCGTACCTCTCAGCCTCATCTCCAGGAGGGGACCTCTCATCAGCTCTGTTTCCCTCAGTGCCTCGCTCTGGCCTTTGCAGGCTGGCAGGGGACTTGCCTGCCAGCCCTGGTTGGAGGGCTACTCCAGACAAATTTCAGCCACTTGCCCGCAGCGTCACTCCGCCTGTTGCACCCTGGCTCCCCGATCCATCCGGGCCCCTTGGGTGGGCCCTGCTTGCTTCCCCCTTGGATGCCCTTCCCCTCCTCTGCCCCATCCCTACCCCTCCCCTGCCTCCCCACCCAAGCCAGGTCTATTGAAAGGAAAACCAACACCTTAAAAGAGTTTTATTTCTGAGAATAAATTAATTTTTTGTAAATAAAATGTTTAAAAAGAACACTAAAGTTACCAGTATATATAGTTGTTGATAATGGGGAAACTTTTGAGGAGAATAGGATCCTTGGGGCACAGCTGATGCCCCCGCTATACCCGAAAGCCACAGTATAAATAGGAGATTCACAAATGCCCCCAGGACAAGGATATCAGTCACTCTAGAATAGGAAGTAGATGTGTCCTGAGCAGGAAACATCTACACCAGTCCTTGTTTTTTCAACTGGACTTCCATTGATCAGGAAGTGAAGTCCTTCAAGATGAAAATTGGAACAGTGGCGGTAGTCAGGGAGGTAGACTAGGGGAGGCAATGAACTCCAGCAAGAAGGGAGGCCTCTCTGCTTGGAAAGCCCATAGCTTCATACAGGAAGTGAGGTAGAGACAAGAAGGCAGCCCTTGGACCTCCCAAAAACTTACAGGAAGAGGAAGAAGACCAACTGTCCTCTCCCTGTAGAGTGGGAAGTGAAGCCTCTTCAAAAAGGCACTTTTTTTCCACCCAAGATGTGGAGAACCAGGACCACTGGATTGAGAATCCACAAAATGGTATCTGTAGAGTCCCACCCAGATCTGGATGGGAGGCCATAGGACCTAGGCAGGAAAGGCCAGGGGCAATAGAGACATGAGGCCTGGTTCCTAGGAAATGCTCCCAAAACATGCCCTGTATGCTACACAAGACGTGTCTCCTTTCTAGCCAAGAAGCAAGCCAGAAAAAGAGTAATTGGGAAAGAAGTATTACAGCCTCTGACAGGAAGTCCTGCCTCCTCTATCCAGGGTATTTGGCTTTGAGCAGAGCCAAGTCCCTCACAGCTCTGTCCGTCCACTGGCCGTATTCCCGGGTCACTACATAGCCTCTACATTTCCTCTCAAAGGCTGAGGCCCCAAAGGGGACAACCCCAAGAGTGTCCTCTTCTGGGGGGATGGGCAGGCCCAGGGCAGTCATGATGGCAGCCATGTTGCCCAGCAGGCCTTGGGCCCTGAGTCTTGCTGCCCCAAGCTGAGCCAGCAGGATAGGACTGCCAGGGTTCAGGTCTCTCTGGTCGTCCCCCACGAGCTGGAGGTGCTGGGTCAAGGCCAGGAAGGCCCCCTGAGCATGGCCCAGCCGCTCCTCGTCATCCAGGGCATGCCAGATCTTGAAAGAGACAGCGGCAGGAGGCAGGCTGCTGAGCTGAAGCTCAGGTGCTGAGAAGCCAGGGTCGCTGAAGGGGCTGCCCTGGTACTGGAGCTGTATGAGAGAGACAGACAGGAATGCAGACTAATTCCTGGGGCTCCCCCTGACTTCACATCTGTCTTCTATAAGACTGGCATCTTCCCAGGGAGCGTTGGTGGCCATCTCCTAGCACAGAGCCCGGCCTCTGTTAGGTTCCAGGTTCCTGTACAAGTTGTACAACTTTGAATCACAGCTTCCATAATTCCCATGCATCAGCATTATTGTGCCAGTGATAAGAAGTAATATATATAAGGCACTTAGCACAGCACTTGGCATACAATAAGGCATGATAAGCCACTGTTTATAATATATTAATATCACGATGCTATGATTATATTATTTATTATATACTATTTTCACTCTAGATAATTGACAATGTGGTTATAGTCTATATGGTTCCTTTCTCTTTATAGCATTTAGTCATTTATGTTTATTAATTTTATTATAATATTTAATAAATAATTCTTAATATTATTAAATTTAGTTGAGTGCCTTCTCCATTAAACTTCTTGCTTCCACAAACCTAAACCCATGGAATCTTGGTGCATCCTGATAAATCCCCAAATGAATAGACCACCTGTTCCCATGTCCCTGTTTCACAGGTGTGCCCAAAAGGGTGCCCAAAGCTACCCAAGGAATGGTGGCATCTATGGGACTAGAAACTAGATTTAGTAACTTCACATGGTCCTGGAATATAGTACAGCAGAGGAATCACAAACCCCAGGGCTTCTAGGGGCCAAGCAGATTGTGTAACTTGGGGAAGAAAGCAGAATTAAGATGGGATGAGGAGGGGGGCCAGGAGGGTCCCTGGGCCTGTTGTAGACAGGCCGTCATGTTCATAATTTGAACAAGTATTTCATGGCCCAAACAGAAAACATCTGTGGGTCAGATTCAGCCTGGGCTGCTAGTTTGAACTTCTGGACAGTGTGGGGGGTGGGAGAGGATTGGCATCTAATGCCACAGACCTGGTTTAAGATCCTGGCACTGCCAGTGATGAGCTGTGTGACCTTGAGCAAATTATTCACCCTCTCTAAGACTCAGTTTGCTCGACTGGATTCTAATTCCATCTCTCAGAACTGTTTGAAGAGTCAGCAAGATAACGGGGATGAGTGCCTAGTGCCAGCATGTGGCTCCAGTAAGCACCCGGCACAAGGTGGTTGGGGAAGTCATCATAACCCTGTAAAGTCTTTCTCTGCATGGGCTGTCTTTGAATCTTGTAACAGTCCTGAAAGATGAGCAAATGCAGGATCACAATTCCATTTTGCAGATGAGGAAGCTGAGACGGAGATAGAGAAGGAATGACTAGCTCAAGGTCACCAGCCATCAGTGACAGTGTTTGAGTGAGTCTCTAGTTGACAGAGCTCCTGTACTCTCAAACTCAGAGAAGAGCTTTCTCCTGGCTTTGCTCTGCTTCCCCTACCCGGGGCTGGGCCAGGAGGGCAGTGTCCCTCTCCCCTCAACCCCTGCTGGCGCCGTTTCACTCATGTCACTCACGTAAGTCTGCAGCAGTGTTGATGTATTCTTCTGCATGTAGAGGGCCAGGCTGTAGGCTTGACTGATGGGCTCAGCTGGGGAGATGGGGGCCCCTGACCTGGGAGGTGGCAGCAGCAGGGTCAGCAGGCAGAGCGGGGCTGGCAGAGGGAATCAAAGGTCATATCAAATCCCCGAGCCTGCCTGCTGATTCATTGATTCTTTGTCACAACTCCTCAAATGGGCACAGTCCTTGTGGGCTGTAATGATTTGGTGTATCCAAGTCGGGGCAGCATCACCCTGTAAGTAGATTATTTCCAGACCAGACATTCCCCTGAACTCCAGACCCGATCTGTTCAACTTCCTGCTTGACATTATTGGATATTAATAAGCATCTTAACTCAAAATATCCAATACTCAACTCTGGATTCCCCTTCCACACTCCTCCCACAGTCATCCCCATCTCACACAAGGGTGCTTCCATTCTTCCAGTTGCTCAAAACCTGGGGTCCTCTTTGGTGCCTCATTCTCTCTTGCTCTCCACATTCACCCCCACAGTAAATCCCATCGGCTCTGTCCTTAAAAGGTAACCAGCACAGCTCTGTGTTTTTTGACCTGAGTGCTCATGACATGGATACGATCACTTTGTGAAAATTCATGGAACTGTACACTTTATAAGTTGTGTCCTTTTCTGTTTGTTCTTTTTTTTTTAATTTTTTTAAAATTTATTTATGATAGGCACCCAGTGAGAGAGAGAGGCAGAGACACAGGCAGAGGGAGAAGCAGGCTCCATACACCGGAAGCCCGAAGTGGGATTCGATCCTGGGTCTCCAGGATCGGCCCTGGGCCAAAAGCAGGCGCTAAACCGCTGCACCACCCAGGGATCCCCTGTTTGTTCTTTTTAATGAAAAGTTGTAAAAGTTGAAAAGCTGTATCCAGAATCTACCCACTTCCCCCCTCCTTCCATTGCCATCAACTGAGTCCCAGCCACCAGCCCTCTCACCTGGACTGTTACAGGCAGTAGCCTCCTTGCACCCCATCTCTGCTTCCACCTTTGCGGCCCAACCCCCAACAACTAGATCCCTCCTGTGCCCTAACACTCCCTCTGCTCCCACCTCACACAGAGGAAGTGTGGAAGCCAAAGCCCTCTGGTGGCCTACAAAGGCCTGGCCCCACTAGACTGGACTCCCATCCCATTCCTCCTCAGGCCCTGGCAGGACCAACCCCAGACCTTCCCAAGGCTGGCCCCTTCTTGTACTTCAGGCCTCCACTCAGATAAGCTGTCCTGACCATATATCAAAAACCCCTTCCCCCTCCCTGATTTATAGTCTTCAGAGACTTTTGCTATTTTGTTTATTTATTTATTTGTCTGCTTGTTTGTTACTGTCTCTCCGCCTAGAATGTTGGCTCCAGGAAAGAGGAGACCTCCCATGATTCATTTGTTGCTGGTTCCCCAGCACCTAGCACAGAACTTAATAAATATTTGTTGCATGACTGAATGCTGCCGTAAACAGCCATATCACAGATTCTTTGGGCACTTTTGAAAGTGGGGATATGCCCATTTTAAATTTGAGTAAAGGCTGCGAATTGTTCCCTTACAGGTCAGGGCCAATTATATTCCCAGCGTAAGGCTGGGGGATGGTTACCTAAGGTCACCAGCAGGAAGCAATGGAGATGAGAGGCAAATCTGATGGCCTCCATTGTTCCCCTTTCTACATTTCTGAGTTCCCTAAGTTCAGAACTTAAGAGAAGGCTGACAGTGAAGGCCCATTCATTCATTCCAAAAATTGGCTCGTTCCACTCACCTTCTATCACACTGACACTATATTTCACTTACTTTTAAAAAAGATTTTATTAAAAAAAAATAAAATAAAATAAAAAAGATTTTATTTATTTGGCAGGGGAGAGAAAGAGAGAGGACACAGCCGTGGGGAGGGGCAGAGGGACAGGAAGAAGCAGACTCCCCACTGAGTCCCAATGGGGGACTTGATCCCAGGACCCTGGGATCATGACCTGAGCTGAAGGCAGACGCTTAACCGACTGAGCTGCCCAGGTGCCCTGTAATTTGCTTACTTATGACGATGATGTGTATTGTCTGTCTGCAGAATGAAATCCCCATGAGGCCGTAGATTTTTGTCTGTTTGTTCACTGCTGTATCAAATGTGCATAATAGGTGCTCAGTAATTCTTCTTGAATGAATGAATGAATGAATGAACGAATGAATGAATGAATGAAGAATGAAGCCTTCTGTGTGTAAGGATTTGGAGGTTCCTAGCATTCAAAGATGGCCAGTCACAGGATTTCGAAGGGCCAGAGAACCTAGTGAGTAGCCCCCCTCCTGGTCTCTAGGCTCTGGCACTCCATCCCCCGCACTCACCTAGCTGATAGCTCATGCTCTCTCCTTGGCTCCTTCTTCTCTCCAGGCTCAGGATCCTTCTGGGGCACCTGTCCTCCCACCCCTCAGGTGGCTTTATACCTGAGCTGAGTGCTGAGGCCTCCCAAGGAGGGAAGGAGTCACACCCTAGGGTGTGTGTGTGTGTGTGTGTGTGTGTGTGTGTGTGTGTGTGAGGGGGCACAGGTGCAGAAGTTCCAGAAACAAGGGACAGGCAAGGAAGGGGACACTGAGGTGACACCCTAGTCCCCAACAGTCCCCAAACTCGACCTTAAACCCTGGTTGCTAGGAGGGAGGGGTCAAGGCTGGGAGGGGATTATCGGGGGACAAAGGGGCCGCCCTGCTCCCTGCTGCTCCGCACGTCCTGGGATCCAGTTTCTTGTGAGGAGGCGGCCTCCTGCTCCACCCCACTGGGACCCAGGCATTGGGCCCTGGCTTTCCTAGGAGTTTGGAAAAGGAATGGGAGTGGTGGCATGTGAGCAACATCACCCACAACCAAGGTACGCCCTTAGACACAGCAGCATGCACACGTCTACACACACACACAACACACACACACACAGAGGCATAGACACATACATTGGCACACAGGCACACACCAGACGTGAGCACTTCCCTACCTTAATTCATTTAAGCATTACTGGTGCCTACTATGTGCTGGGCCCTGTTCTAGGTGCTGGGGTAGAACCAAGAACAAGCTAGACAAAAAGCCCTGCCCTCGTGGAGCTGACACCCTCGGGGACTCAGCCTGCACGTGTGTGGAATCACACACACCCTGCCAGGCCTGCACGTGTTACAGAGGCACAGTGCACACGTGTCCCCACTGACACATGCAGACATGCAAACACATAGCCACACCCAGAGGCCCCACCAGAAGTACACGCGTGGAGCAGACACATACATACGTGGGGTGTGCACACATCATGGTCACATGCACACACAGATACACACCTGTGGCTGGAGGTCAGGAATCCTGAGATCTTGCCATGTCTTAGTTCCTGCTATCCTGGAAGATCTTGGGCCAGTGGCTGCCCTCTGCCCAGACACAGCACATACAGACCACAGACACATAACCTAAGGCCCTTTCTACTTGGGGAAGACTTGCGGCAGAGGAGGACATGGGGAGATTGGTGCTGGGTTCTGATCCTTCTTCAAAACTTTGCCAGTCTCTCCATGAGGGGGCAGTTTTGTTCTCAGTCCCTGCCCACTCACTGGGTCAGAGTGCACGGTCAGAGCCCCACCCCACTTCTATCCAGTTGGGGGATGGACTACTGCTCTACCTTCCTCCCTGGTGTGGAGAAAGAAGGCCCACACCCTTCCTGCAAAGGCAGGAGATACATCTGTTCATTCATTCATCCATGTATGCATTCAGTGGGCAGATACTAATGGAACCTCTTCTGTGTGCTGGTACAAGGGTGGATGTAAGATGGGCCGGGTCCTTGCCTCACAAGAGTGCACAGTCCAGAGGGGGAGAGCAATAATAAAGGTGTGACCTGATAAAATCAAAATGTTCTGAAGCAACAAAGTGCTGAGAAGAAGCCAACATAGGTTGCTGTGATTTACTGGGGAAGCAAGGAGATTTAATAAGGAGCTTGAGGCCCAGAGAGGGATAGCTACTTACCTGGAGTCACACAGCAAGGCCAGAACTGATCCTAGACTCCTGCCCCCCAGCTCGGGACCAGATCTGGGGTGTCTCTGATCTGAACTGTGAGCTAAAGGAGGGAAGAGTTTGAAGGAAAGATGGGCTCTGGGGTAGGGGATCCTAAATGAGATCTCTGAGGTGGGGGGGGGGGCTGCCAGGGCTGCCAGGGCTGCCAGAAAGGGCCTGTGCTGGGCAGCGGTGATGTCAGAGGATTAGACTAGGCCCTTTGAGTGGGTGCACTGAGGCGTAGGCCAGGCTAGGTGGTGAAGGGGGAGGTGGTGGAGGAGGAGGAGGGCAGGAAGGGAGGAGGGCAAGAGGGAGGCAGATACTCGATCTGGTGCTATTCACAGGTAGATGGTGGACGTGGGGCTGGGCCTCACCCCAGAGGGCAGGCTTACCCTCACCCAACTCCACTGCCTCCTACCTCTCATGGGGGCTTCACTTTCTCTCTCATTGGATCCCTAGGTGCCCTTCACAGCTGGAGGGATTGGCCCCCAGCCCAGGCCCTGATTTATCCCAAGACATCTGTCTTGGCAAAGGCCATCAGCTCTGCCACCCTGACTGTCCCCACCTCACAGCCCATCTGTCTCCATCTCTGTAGTCTCACCAGAAGCTGATGCTGTTCGTTGCCATCCCCAGATGAAGCTCCTTTGCTCTCCCATTATCTGCACCCCTTTCTGTCCCCAAGGTGGTTGGACACCACAATGACCAAGCAAGACCCACAAATCCACCAGTGTTCTGCCCATATGTCCTAATCCAGTCCCAACTCGGCCCTTTGCAACCTTTGGAATCCAGCCAAACTTGGCCTCTGCTTCCTGAGCAGCCCAAGGCCTGAGGAGGAAGGTCAAGGGAGTAGGTGTAACAAGCCCTGTCTTAGGAGCAGAGGCTTCTGGTAGGTTAGGGTGTTGGATTAAAAACCGGGAGAAAGTGAAGTTAGAGCCAGCAGGGCTGTCCTTTATCCAGAGGTTACACTCTGAATTCTCATTCTGTGACCTGAGCTTCCCAAAGACATAACACATAAACAGAGTCTAATCAAATGAGCAGACTCTACCAAAAAGAAAACTTACCCAGGGTATTGACACCTGGG